GTCACACTCAGGTGTGAATGGCTGTTTTATTCCCTGGCACGCCAGTGGGGAGAGGCAAAAAGTTCATTCATCCCTTAAACATTTTTCCATAAACTTCTGAAAATAAACAGGAGAGGAAGCACTACATTACTGTCTCACAATGACATGCTTTCACTTACACAGGGAGACACCAGAAACAGGTCCGACTTTGTTCTCCCCGCCCCCCCCCCCCCGCCCCCCGGCAGCCCCAGGATCGGAGGAGAGTCTACATCATACATGCTAAGTCCGTGTGCTGACTGTCCCCACACGCCACGGTGGTTCGGGGCCACCACCAGGCCCAGCGCCTGCCTCTCTGGTCTAGGCCGAGGAGGCCCGCGGAGATTTATGGCTGCCTGGCCTGGGTAAGGACTCCATGGCCGAGCCAGGCAGAGGCTGGGTTTTAAAACCAGCCACACACTCGTCATGATTTCCGCAACACTCTCAAACAACTCGGATTCTTGACCGCTTGTGCAAGGGAGAAGAAGCCTCTTTGCTGCCTCTGCTGCTGCTGTAAGCAGGAGCCCTGGGCAGCACGCAGGCATGAAAATGCAGGGGGCGGAGGGGAGGGGCTGGAAGCCGGGCCTGTCAGAAGCTATACTCCAGGAGGTATGTTGACGCAAGCCATTCCGTGCCTCTGCGGCAGCCTTATCAGGTGAAAAGCAAAGATATTGCCAGTGCCTGTAATTGTGTTAGGATGGCTTGGATGAATTGGATTACCTTATGGAAAGCCGTCCAAACTCGGGGTTCTGTTACGCATGCTTACAGGAAGCAAATAATTACTCTCTGTGCACCAGCAGATAATTGGGGCTGGCCACAGGCCTTCTCGTGCCGCCGCCGAAGCGGGAGGAGCTGGCCTCGTCAGAGCGTTTAGGAGACAAACCTGGAGGGTGGTGGTCCCTGTGCATGTAGGCGGCTCACGCTGATGCTGTGATTTCGGTTACTTTTCAAAGACGGTGAATAATTTATCAGAATTCAAACTACCAGCGGCAACGGGCGGCACGTTGGAGGAGATAAAAATTGCACGCTCTAATGATGGAAATTGTCGTTGCAGACAGGAAGTGATTGACAAGTAGGGATGCAGGAAGTGAAAACTCAAGGAGCTTAGCCGGGGCTTGGGCACAGCTTCTGGAGCTTGTGCTCGGAGAAAATGAAAACCATGCCCTCCTGTCAGCCCGCCAGAACACAAGCGCCTCTTGTTTGTTTATCTCCCTAGCAAATCTCCCCAAAACGTTTGTGGTCAAAAGTCTACATAATGAGACATTATGCTGGTATTATTAATGCTTTAAAATAAAAATATGGCTATAATTTAGAAAAATAAGCAGAGGAATTTTATGTGTTAAGGGTTTTTTTTTGGGGGGGATTGTATTTTATAAGCTTCTCGGTCTTTGGGGGTAACTAGGGTTCATTAAATTGTAGAAAGCTTGAAGAGGCTGTTTTCAAAACTATTCAGCAAACAGTCTGTCCTATCTATCAACATAATAAATGCTATACGTTTGCGACCAGTTCGATGAAGGGCATGGTGGGGGCTGGGGCAGCAGGGAAACTGTAACAGGTTTTTGAATCACTGGTTTCCCTTTCCCTTTAAAAACAAAACAAATGAGAACTCTCCCTCTAATTCCTTGGCTGGAAGTTGCTCAGCTAGAAAACACTCCAAATGCACGCGGGGCCGTGGAGCCAGCGGTGGACAGAGTGCCGCGTGTGAGCGTGCACAGGGGCAGCCCTGCTTCCCCCAGTAATTCACTAGGAAATGAGTTTAACATGTGCGGAAAGGAAGGGCTCAGAGTTTGCGTCGTTGGAGGACCCAGAGCCCAGGCCCCGCGGACGGAAGGGGTAGGCTCCAGCTTGCCTCTGCTGGGTGTGGAGGGGAGCTGC